GGCCTCCTCCTCCTTCTCATTCTCCTCCTCCTCATCGCTGGTTGGGCTGAAGGTACCGTGGGACTGCTTTCCGTAGACGCAGTGCAAAGAAAAGACCGGTGGCACTGGGATTGATCTGGCTTTAATTAACCATTGTACGATGATCCACGACTTCTGCCAAACAGCCGGCATGATTTACGGTCTGCCTGTGGTTGAATGTGGGTACAGGAGGTGGCTTCAGCTGGGCTTGTTCTGTTGTAAAAAAGTAGTCCAGGCTGAGTTAGAGCCACAGGGTTTAATCTGATATCTAAAACACCGAAATATAGACATTTTTAAGTCTATAGTCAACATTTATTTATGCTGTTATTTTTTAATTAAATAAGGAAATAAGGTTTTTCTTCTACCTTTTTAAAATTTACTTATAATAAGGAAGACTTTATAAAGAGTTTTTCACAATTTCTTTAGTGATGTAAATTAGGATTACTTGTAATTTAATAAGGCTTTATAGATCAGCAGAGGTGGGCAGTCACAAGTCACAAAAGAGTCTAGCAATGAAATCCCAAGTCCCAAATTGTTTAATCTAAACAAGTCATTCATTTACATAAATAATGAATAATTTTTAAATGTTGTATTTATTACTTCTAAATTAACTTAATTGATCAATTTAATACCCTACTATCTGATAAGCCATCATGTCTGAAGTTATAAATTAGTTTTTTGCTTTTCTAATAAGCCACTAAAGAGCTACAAAAAAAGATCAAGCAAGTGCTTTGCAAATACTGAAAGGGGATGCGCACAACCTGGCAACCAAATAGTTCTTATTATGTTCTTATTAATGGCTTGTTACTGAACTGTGGACTATTAAGCCATAAACTCAAACATAAAAGCCCTTCATGTGTGATTTAAAAGCAGCACATTTTATTGTTTAAAAGGTGAATAATGATGTGTATGTTTTTCTCTTGCCCTGTATGTGACCTACAGTCATCCATGTGTCATGTTGTGTCTTTATTTACACGGTTAGAAAAATAAGCCATTCACGTTTGTGTGTACTTGAGTTACCTTGAGTTTGAGCTCAAGGTAATAAAAGGAGATGAGTCATTATATGTGCACAATAAACATCCGTCTGTCAGTCGGTCTACACTCCTCCATCACCACCACAAATTCCTGATCTTGCATTGTTCTCAGCTGATTGGAGTCGGTACCTCCTTTTTAAGACACGGTGAAAAGGAAAGGAGTGCAAATCACTGACTAAGCAGAGCGCTCTCAACAATATCTCCTCCTTCTCCCGGCCTAACAGGCCGAGGATCACACTGCGCTGGCATAGCTACCAGTCAATACTTTAAAAAGACATGAAAAAGAGGAAAGTATTAGCATATCAAAGGCCAACATCTGACACGGCCCTGCCTGCCTGCTTGAACCTACAGTAAGTGGGGTGCAGTGGGAGGAGGAGGTTTCGACTGTAGGAGGAGGAGGTGGGAAAAGTGAATGTGCGCCGGTCGAAGCTCACCAAGGGGTTTTTACTGCTGATCGTCAGTCGCAAGAGGAGAGGTAGCCTGCACCCACAAGGAAGGGATTAGGTGGGATACGAGGAAGCCAACGTTAGAGATGGGAGCTCGGCTTTCTGCCTCAGGCTCTGATTAATTCCAGCACACACACACACACACACACACACACACACACACACACACTACAGTCTCTAGTGAAAAGGTCAAGAGGCCAAAAGTGGAAGGGTGAGGGAGGGTGGTCATGAGAGGGTGGGAAGAATAAAAGGATGTGAAGTAATTGAGAGAGTAAGAAAAAAGGGCAGGAGTGAATGAAACAACAAATGGAAAGAATGGAAGAATACAGGCGTGAAGACATCGAGCCCAGTGTCCCGCTAATTATTATATAAGTCACAATTCACATGCTAAAATTCAGTGCCACTGCACAAATAAGTGTAACCATGATTTTTCTCTCACCTACTTGTTTTAGTTGCCTAATCTCATCCATCAAAATAGCTCATATAACACTACATAATAGGTATAAACTAACCACTAGCATCAAGAGCACCTTCATTTCAAATATAAGAATAGGCTAGCTTGGAAGAGACAAAGTGAGGGGTTTTACCCATTTATGTAGAGACTGCAAGTGTACAGTCTCAAGTGCAATACTTCTGCTTAAGTGGGCTATTCTCGTGCTCCGTGAGAGAAAGAACAAGAGAGAAAACATGCAGTATATGATGTTGAAAGGGTGGGTGAGGCAGCGGGCAGGTGACGGCATATATGGCATGCAGTTCAACAGGTGCTGTGGTAAAAGGCAGCGCTGACAGACAGGAAGAGAGATGAATGTTTGGTGTCAAATCCCTCTTCTGGCTTCTGTCTGCTGTCAATGAGGTGAAGACAACCAGAAGAGAGCAGAACAGTGAAGAGAAAACGCAGAGAAGGGGGGAAAAAAAGGGAAAGAAGAAAAAAGATTCTTGGCTGGGATGCAGGACATACTGTATTACAGCTGTATTTAATAAAAAGCACAGCAGCATTGATCTGAGTGGGGGGAATTTCTCCAAACATCCTGCAGAGCTAAGGCTGATGGGATCCCTGTGCTGGTCTGATTGAGGGCTTCCTGTTTTAAGCACTTAATGAGGAACTGGGGAGAAATTTAACTTCCAGGTCTCCCAGCTTGGACACTTTCCTGCAAATAAAAAAGAAGCTTTTTTTCCAGTTCGCTCTGTGTGATATTCCCTCCTTTCACCTGCCACTGCTACATCTGTGTGTTAGATTGTTAAAGCTGCTTTGATAGATTTTGGCCACAAGGGGGTACTGAAAAACACGGCCCTGACATATCATCACCTATAAAGTTGTTATAAGCAAATCCTTGTCTACTTCCAGCAAACACAGCAACATTTCACTGGAGTCTTATTTTTGGCTACCTGATAAATCCAACATTTACTCTCAGTTTAGCTCTCATTTGATCTCTACCAACTCTTGAGAAAAATATCTGGAACAGCTATAGTTAGGGATTCAAAGTGCATATATCTCCGGTTTCTCATTTTCACACAAAAACTGAGTTTCCAAAAGATTTTCCTAAATGGTAGTGCTGAAAAAAGTGTATTTCACCAAAATGTAGACAAAGAAAACATCAAAAAAGCTGACATATATGCCACCACGCTTCAGCTTTTCAGCAATGTTAAAGTTATAAATTACTATGTGAAAGGTGTGGCTCATAGTAATGAAGAGAACAAACACCTAACTGTAGTTTCCCTCAGCTCCATGGAACTTTTCAGAATCTTTCAGCACCTTGTTTTGGTTTTCTGGTCGGCAGCGTTACTGTTTTGGTTTGCTCCCACAGCTGCATTTCCAGGCGCTGCCAGCAGCTCAGAAAACCACCTGCCCAACACTAAATGGTAGACTGCGAAAGTTAGCAACTAGTTTGTGAACATAGTGGAGCAGCTAAAGATACAGATATTTCCCTCAGGAGTTGGTGGTTGGTTTCCTTCCTTGGACTTTTGATAGATACTGACCAATGCAGACCCTGAACACCCCACAGGAGCTACAGTTTTGGAGATGCTCTGACCCAGTTGTCAAGCCATTGCAATTTGGCCTTTGTCAAAGTCACTCAAATGCTCACGCTGCCCATTTTTTCCTGCTTCTAACATATCAAGTTTGAGGACAAAATGTTCACTTGCTGCCTAATGTATCCCACACACTGATAGTGAATAACACTGATTATCTGGTTATCATGGCTCCTGTCAGTGCTCAGAATGTTATGGCTTAAAAAGTGATCATTTGTCAGTGTTTGTTGGCAGTACTGGTATTCATTGCTCATTTTATTACGCTAAGACAAATGCGACCTACATTATAACACAAAACCCATATTTTCATTACTGTAAAAACTAAAGTAATTCACTTAGTTGACTGTGGAATTAATGTTGTTGAGTTAATGAAACTGTTTTTTTTTCTGCAGTTGGAGTAACAGTAAAGCCAGGTTGCCTTGTTTACCCTTGAGCGATTCAGGGTGAGACATCTCATTTACAAATTAATTTACTCTAGAGGGACGTTTCATTAACTAACCCGTCCATCTTTGTCCCTCTGTGTCACCTGAAGGGCAAAAAGGTGAAGAGCTGCGCCTCCATAATAAGCTTCAAGATACAGAGTTTTGTATATGTACAGGCTACTGATTGTCTTCTGTTGTGAACTGTGTGTGTTGGTGCTGCTTTCTTTTCATCAGGTGCCCGATGTGTATTGAGTTTCCAAAAACCATGTTCATTTATTGGAATCAAAGCCAATAAAGACATTTTTCTCTAATAAGTGTGCAATGGAACTGCTGAGTAGGCTGGCTTTACCCTTCATGGTCTTATCAATTTATGTATCATTAAATTGCAACACACCAAACATAATGCTGATAAAGATTTTAGGTAACACTTAACAGATCAATGGCACTGTTTTTCAGTGGATTATTCCTACAGTATATATATATATGTTCTGTAAAAAAAATTCCTACTACTAAAAGCAGGGAAAATATTCTCTACAGAAACATGCTAAATATGACCAATTGGGTACAGTAAATAACAATAACTTAGACTTTAACTTTGATAAGAGTTCTTAAAACTAGAATCAAGATCAGTTCAGTGCAAAAACCTCATGACCAAAAACTGGTGAAAAAGAACATCATGTAAGCAATTAAGCTTCAGAAATTCAAGATAAATGTGCTTGATTATTTGTCTTTCAGTTCAGCTCATTTTATTATAAGCCCTACAGGAAAGACTACCAGGAAGAATCTAAAAACCTTCAAATAAGACATAACCTGATGGTGAGGAGCTTCACCTCATTACTGTGCAGCATGCAGAGGTTTTTCCACTGTGTGACAATTTGGTTGAAACAACTGCAGCAGCATGAGTGTTTACTGCTCACTTCTGGAAAAATGAAACTTTACCTTTGCACCTTTATTGTACTCCTGGCAGCTCCTCAAGAACAACATTTTCACTGACTCATCAAGTCAATGATTTGCAAATTGAGGCCATGCAGCCTGGTTATACAGTGTGCATACTCTGTTTGCCTCTCTGTGTTTAACCTGAGTTATAATGTGCAACACTTTCGCTTCTGAGACGTAAACGCACTTAGGTTTCTGTTCCAGCGGCAATAAATTGGCTCCGAGTCGCCCCTGTACTGTACTCACCTGATAGATGAAGAACTGAAGACATGGCTCCAACACTGGTGAGTCTCCTTCTGCTGAGCTTGATGAATTAGTGTAGATTTGAAGCTGCTTCAACTGAAGCTCATACAAGATTGTGTTCTTTTACACTGGCAACATTTTAACGTAGAGTTTACTTTGAGTTTTCTATTGTAAAGCAATGTGTTACCATTTTAGTCAAAGTAATCTAAAAAAGTAAACACTGAAGTAAACACTAGAATAAGAACAATAAATGTCATTTTTTTAAAAACATTTAAATATGTTTTAACTTTAAATACATTTAAAACTGAAACACACAGTAAGCCAAAGGTAGCGAGAGAGACTTGTGTCATTATTCATGGTGTCCTGTGGAGTTTTCTTGTAAATAACTTAAACTCATGTTTATATATATACATTTTTTTGTGCATTGTTTATATCCATGTTTGCTAGCTTGCCGTCTTCTGCCCTGGGTTTGTTTGTCCATTGCTCTGCTTCTTTGTGCATTTCCTACTAACTGTTAAAGCAGCAGCAGAAACTAACTAAACACAATAACATTCAGTAGGCCAGAGATTTTCACCATTAAAGTAATTATCATTCCCACGCCAGTCAGCTTCATGGTGCCCTGCTAGGATTTCTTGCAAACACATTTTGCAAACTTCTTTTCTTAAAAGTTCCATGATTACTTGGTAGCAGTCTTCTTCTTTCCCATCTTTGTATGTGCATTTGTTTTGGTGCATTTCTGGCACCTGTAGATTAGTGGAGTAGTGTGAAACTACAAAATGTTCTCCTAATAGCCAAAAACTCCAGACGATACCTTTTAAGAACTGACTGACAAAATACTAAATTAAAATGTTACTGTTTTTGTTATCATTTTAGTTTGAGAATAGTGCAAAGCCCGGGGACCTGATCCAGATCTCACGTGGGACATATGAGCACTGGGCCGTCTACATCGGTGGAAATGAAGTTGTTCATTTGATTCCCCCCTGTGCGTAAAGTGTTGGATTTACTACATTGTTTTTAGGGAGACTATTTATAACCTTCTGTCTGCCTCTTTCCTTAATGTTACTTTTATCAGATAATGGCTACAATACAGGGTAGCCGTTTTTATTTTTTATTCTCCTAGCAACTTTATTCTAACTTCTTTCCTGTCTATCTCTTCTATTATACACACACAGGCGCTGATGATTCCGACACTTTTAGTAACATGTTAATGCTCCTGGATAGCAACACAGCACAGGTGAGGCGTCAGAAGATCTGGGAAGTGGTTGGCTCCCATGAATTCAAAATCAACAACCTCCTAGATGGCGAGTGCCAGCCTCGTGAGCGCCACATCATCGTGAGAGAGGCCTGTAGCATGGTGGGCCGGGAGCTGCCGTATTCACTCACCACTCACAACTGTGAGCACTTTGTCACAGAGCTACGATACGGCAAGCCAGAGTCTCAACAGGTGGGTACCCTGTGGCTTTCATACTACTGCTTGCATGACTACTCAATATGTAAACTCTAGATCTTTGTATTTAAACTCAATATGTAAACTCTGGATCTTTGTAAGACAAAATATGACTTTGTACTTCAGTTTATATGCTTTATAATACCAGATTTGCATGTTGTAGTTTGCATTTATAAAGTATTCATGCTTCGGCATCATAAATTATTTTACACAAATGATCTACAAATATATAAAGGATTATTTGAAAGAATGGATGATATTTATAAATGTGTAATCAGGTATTTGCTCAAAAATATCCTTTTATTAAAGTTATAATTCTCAATATCAGTATAGTTTGGTGACATCTGCAGTTTTTGGTGGCAATTACAAGAAAAACATTTGGGATGTTCACAGAGGATCTATCACCTCATGTTATTTTACTTAAGAAAAAAGTAATTCATTTCCAATTATTCCATTAAACAACTGCGATCTGCTCAAATGTAAAAGTACTAATCGTCTCATCAAGGCAAAAATAGTTGAAAAAGTGTGAAAAACTGCTCTGCTGCTGAAAAGCATCTATCAATGGCAACCAGCATTAACCTGTATATTTTAATTTCCTGTGGCTGCTTCCCAATAAAGCCCACTTTGTGGTTGCCATTCCAATTCAATTCAATTCAACCATTATTTACATCTTAGGAATTCATTGAGGGTTGAACCCTAATTTTCAATGATGCTGAGATTGCATTAGGCAATAAAACAATAAGGACACAAAGATCAACATTAGTTAAAAAAACAGATTCCTAATAAAAACATTTACATGTAAAATCATTAAATTTAAAAAGCATATTTCTAAAATCTCCCAATGTTATTAGGGTTTGATAGGTTTGACTGATAGTTGTTTGATAGTTTAATTATTTCAATACGAAGTAGCAGGAAATACAGTTGCACTAAACTCCAAAAACTGAAAGAAACACAAGTCATTCAGCTGAAAACAAACCTCTCCACTAATCATAACAGAACATATTAACAGATGAAGTTGTAACATATTTTATTGATGTTTCAGTGGGAAATCCCTTTATCAAAGTGATACACAGCCTGGTGTGTGTCTGCACCTGGATTCAGGACGAGTTTATCGTATAAGCTTCTCATTCATTGTGACCATACACAGATCTAGCGCAATCTATTTCAGCTGATAAGAAACAGATGTGGTGCTAAATAAATTGTGATTGCCCATATTTCAAACAACAGAGGATGATTAACAGGCTCATTTGCAAGTTTCCAAAAAAAAGGTTGTTTAATCAACCCACTTAGTGCATTTGTCACCTCCACTGTGTTGTAGTTATACATAATTATCCAAAATAAGCCTTCTTACAGCCATGCTGCTCAATCAGATTGACTACAGCTAGATGTTTTTTCCTTTTTTAATGTCTATTGGTGCTGCTGCTAAAATACAGCATCAGTGGCTGAGACAACAACAGCCATTTAAAAACAACACACTGCATCCTGGGGCCACAAACACTTAAATTAAACTTACCAAATCCTAGCAAACACTTCTTTCTTATCAACAAAAGCTTTAAGTGCAATTTTTTGTCGCTTTTTTTTAGAGAAAATATATCATCCTGACACGATACGGAATTCAACATAAACATTTTCACATAAGGTCGTGCTCCACTGTACAATTACCGTCTCAAAGCTGCCCCATATTAGATAAACAGTTGTGATTGGCCTGAATAGATCCAGATCGGGTGGAAAATCTGAGAGAGGTCAGATGCATCTGCCACAGAAAATAAAACATGAGCTTCCACATTTGACCAGGACCTAAGGCAGTACAATTATTCTACTTTTAACATGACCATATGGTGTGCTACAAACAACTTGACACTTAGTTGTGTGCAAAAATTAATCACAATTGATATGGTTAAATGTTTTCAGCAGCACTTCCTTGACCTTCAGCCTGCTACTCATTTGTCTTTTGCAGGTTCAAACAGCAGCTGTGATTGGAGGCGTTGCTGCAGCAGGTGTAGGCATTGTGGCTTTGGGTGCCACTCTGTTTGCTTTGCTCAAAGATGACAACAAAAAGAGACGTCATAAGTGACAGCAATGAGACAGCGAGATGAAAGGAAAGATCTTGCCATTGTTTGAGTCAATTCCCCTGACAGTGTTTTTGATTTAAAATCAACTTTGGCACATGCGCAAACTGAAAAAAATGTCTTTTCTTGGTGTATCAGTCAATACACAAAAAAAATACAACCCTGGATAGGATGAGGCAAGCTGGTGTTGAGAAAAATAATGTAATCCTGTAGGTATCATAATGGCCCTTATAGTGTTATATGTCTGATATCAGTGCTCTCAGTGGGCGAGGTTCACTCAAACATGGCTGTTTGTTTAATGTCTGAAATGTATATTACATGATTCATTTGCCAGATAAGACAGTTGTAAGACTTTTTCCTAATTCAAGTGACAAGGGAAGTAATTTTATTTTAAGACTTTAATTTATAAACTGTAAATACAATAAAACTGTGCATTTTTACAAGAGCCATTCATTATATTTTTGCTATGTGTTTAAGCAATTAATCATTAACCAATTCTTCAATGTATGTTAACTGTATTAATTTGTGTAACAAACACTTTTTATTATCTTTATTTTACATACTGTGTACTTTTGTTTGTACTATTCATCCCCACAAAACCCCAGAATCCAAACCAATACTCCATGAAATTAATATTACTATTTTCTTCGCAACAATCATGATTGACAGAGAGGTACTGAGAGCAAAAACAGAAGGCATAATGGTGAAAAGGGGGACAGAGGCAGCAAAGAGTAAAAGGAGAACACTGAGTAATGTTTTTCTTACGGCCTAGTTATGAGCTTAAAGGGTGTTTATCCCCCGTCCTCTCTGTGCCAGCATTGTGCTGTATTACAATCTACCACTGTTCATATGTGGACCCTCGTTACAGCCGAGGCAGGTGGGGAAGAGCAGATTCACACAAGACCATGTGATCTACATGGTGTGTGTGTGTGTGTGTGTGTGTGTGTGTGTGTGTGTGTGTGTGTGTGTGTGTGTGTGTCTACCTTCTCATTCCTCTATCCTTGTGAGGACCATTTACACGTTCAGACCTTAAGAGTGAGGACATTTGGGAAAGTTGATTTTGGATGTTGGGGCTGTTTTGTGTTTAAGGCTGCCCTTAAGGTTTAGGTTCAGGTTTAGGTTAAGGTAAGAGTTAGGGTTGTGATGGTTAAGGAAGTCAATGTGGGTCCTCACAAGTATCAAAGTACAAAAAGTGTGTGTGCACATTGGCAGCTGATTTTACTGTGGCTATCGAAGTGTGTGTCTGCCTGTGTTTATAAATGTATGTGTATGGACTGACAGCTGAGTAAAGGATCATCGTAACGTACCCCCCTACACACGGCTCCTCCTCCCCCAGCTGGACACCCATGAAGGATCAGACAGGCCTGCCCCGCAAAAAATAAATGTGCTTTTTGCATACTCTTAGTCTTATTTAACCTTTAAATTCTCAATTTCTCCAAAACAACAGTATAAATCAATTTCAACTGAAGTCTTCTCTATGTCAATAAAATTAGTTTAAACAAGAGAAACTGCAGCACTTGCCTCAAAAAGCCAACTACGAATGTTACTTTTCTCATTGAGATCTGACAAGGCTCAATAGAGATCTGCTCAGGGACAGTAAATCACTCCTTATAGTTTGCTACCATAACTCCAGCTGTTGAGAATTGTTTTCTTGACTCAAATCTTGTAGCAAAAAAAAAATAGATTGCCAGATTCATGCTCAAGTGAATCAATTAGACGTATAACACATTGATCTGAATAGTTATTTTGACTAAACAATCACTTTAAAACACCAAAATAAAATCTGGTGGTATTTTTTGCAGTGTAGAAACAGGCCTCGGGGCTGGTGGCCAGGCCAGTAAAGCTGCTAGCAGGTGGGGGCAGTTGGGCTCGCCTGGTCCCCAGAATCAGCACAGCACCCCACATTGTTCCTGAGATCACCGCCTGAGAGCTCCATGAAATCCAGAGTGGGCTGCAGAGGCTTGGGCCGTGGGACCAGCTCCAGAAATAATAAAACCTCATACTCTCCACGTTTTGGGACTCAGAGAAGATGGCTTATCGTGGCTGATCATTAGGCTCAGACTCAGCTCAGAAATAATCACCATGCATAACAAATGTGCAGCAGTGTCACTTGGTGGCACTGATAGAGAGACATATAGACATTATACAGCATTAAAAAGACTAAGCCTTAAACATAAACACTGAGTAGACATTTGCATGTATTTTTATCAGTAGTATAGAAACAAGTAAAATTCAGGTTTTACCACCACCATCGCCTGTTCCTATGATATCAGCTGCGTTTGGGAAATTGGCAACAGGCTGAATTGAGGTTCTTGCCAAACAGAATTTGTCACACCATTACAGTCAATAAAGGCTTTCATTATGGCATCAATTACCAGCAACTGTCCCATTTTTAAGAAAGGAAGAATTATGTCAATGAAATATAAAGCCCCAAATTGGACCCAGTTTATAACCAATTATTCAAGGTACAACCAAGGTGATTTTTAATTTGTCTCTCTTATTTGATAGGGACAGACAGTATACATAGAGAACTGCACAACATTTATTCAATGCAATATATAACATAATTTATAGCTACAGCTAATTTCCAATGCCAGTCCCTATAAGGGGCTATAAAAACTTTCTGGCCAGCATGCCATGCTTCATCTTGAAGTGAGAGTCAAAGACAGGTCCTCCTCCTGGCCACTTTCTTGAAGTGGTAAAGGCTTAGGATAAGAGTCGGGTGTTCCATCTCTATCTTCTTTGAACTGCTCTTTCCCAGCTGTCAACTGTAGCATCTTTTTCTTTGGAAAATCTAATTGCAATCTGTCTTGGTCAAGTGTGAACCTACTGTGACATCACCCCTTGGTTTGTGGATAACCGCTTTGAAGCCTCAAGTTTGGCATTATGTTTTTTTTGGAACCAGAAGTGACCATGGACGAGAGCATGGAGCTGGGGAGGATACACATTGCTACGCCTCTAGCTTACCATGTTAGGCGGTGCTTTGTTTTGGCTTGTCCATTTCAAGCAGGAAAAAAATGGTGACCTGGTCAAACTTTCTTGTACTACAGATAAACACTAATAAATAAAGTGAGAAGAAGGGTCTTTTTCTCATAAGGGTAAATGCAATCTGACTTCTTTTTTAAACCAATGGAGCTGCCCCCTGTTGGCAATTAAACAGACTGCAGGTTTAAGGCACTTCACCACTGGCTTCACTTTTTAGAGAAGCTCCATCCACTATTATACAGTCTATGGTTTTGGTTTTCCCATGCTACATACAAAAAAGGGTCAGCTCTGCACCAGTCCAGGGTTTGATAAAAAAATGTCTTGAAATTGCTTTTTTTCCAAATGCTTTAATCAAACAGGGAGAACGAGGCAAATGTTTTTTTAGATTGGATCTGCCCACATGAAGTGAACTGTGAACTGTAAGCTCTCATGGCTGAGAGAGCATCAAATGGTTAGGCCTAAGGTCCTAGGATGAGAAGGATTTTTTAATTGTATGTAGGTTTAGACTGTATTTTCTATGAATAAACCCGTATAAACTGTATTATTCATCCTCACATTTTGTCTGTATCTCTACCATTTTTTTGAGAAGCAGAAAAAGTAAGACAAGTATACAAGGGCAATAAGTTTTAAAAACATAACACTTTTAGACGACAGGGTTGAAATCCCAGATCATCTCAAGTGAGAGGGAATCACATCACAAGCACGCAGGCGGCAGAATGTTCACATCTGATAGCAACGTGTAGGCAGGGGAGGAAATAGACACTTGGAAAGCATCCCAGTGGACATAAATCTGGGATAATGTCCTAAAAAAGCTGCCAGCTACCACCGGAAATCACTTTCTTGCCATTTCTAGCATATGACCACTCGGCAGCACATGTTCCACCAGCACCTATGATTCTAAGGTAGGCGATCGAGTTACAGCTAGAATAATAAGAAATGGTTCATTTATTGAACAGCTAATGTTCTCTCTCAATTAACAACTTTGTGTAAAATGTTGCAGATCATATTGGTTTTACTCCAAGGTTGACTCGTCTTCCTTGATTAATAGGAAGATGATTTCAGAGATGCTTTACCATGGAGATCCCTGGACTATAGAATGCCTTTAGCTGTTAAGTCATAGTTACGAAACAGGACTTGCTATTGTGTGTTTCCATTGTGAACTGGGCTTAGAGGCAACACTGGGCCAACATGAATTACTACAGCCAGTAAAAGACCAGAGCAGTCTGTGATAAAAGCAATGTGACAGGCAGCCGTGGAAGCCAAAAACCAACTACCTTTGGTGTCTGTGTCACTTCAGGATATATGGTTTCCCCCACTGCGGCCTGTCACCGCTAACTTCTCACGTTCAAGTTCCCCCAAAAAGGCAGTCAGAGGGGAGGTGGTGCAGGGCCCAGCCAGGAGTGCTGTCAAACCCCCAAACCTCTTCCATTTGGTACAAAGATGTCATTGAGCCTTGTCTTTGCACCTGCTCAAGTCGTGGAGGAGATGGCAGAGGCTCTTCCTGTGTGTCTGGGGTGGGGGGGGAACAACAGTCCGCCACCTCCCTGCTGCAAAACAAGCCCAACAAACGGTGTTTAAAGATTTTTTTTTTAAAGCTCCAACTGCTGCCATGCCAGATAAGTCAACAAATGAGGGCCAGTGAAACTTTGTTCATCGTGTGAGGGGCTTTTTGTGAGAGAGGTTGTGTAGCAAGAAGGGGGAAAGGGATGGTGGGAGGTGGAATTAGGACCACATAAAGAGGAGAGCCAGGAGGACGTGGTTTGGAGATGGCAGGTTGGACCACCCTAAATGTAAGGTTTTCTGGACGCCAATGCCCGCTCAGGTGGCAGCGGTTGAAGCAGCCACCTCACCATCTCCATTCCCCCTCCCTCAGATCTCACAATGAAGAAACTGTTTCAACGAAACAAGAGCCGTGCCTCCGAGGCCGCTGACAGAGGGAGATTAGAATAACAATGGCCTGGGTTAATGATGTTTGTGCCATTAAAGACACAAAGTCGTTACTAAAAAAGCCATTAGGCCTTGAAGTCAAAGAGAGTGAAAGGAGTGCTTTTTTACACTGATTACTTGCAGCGAATTCTAAACAGAATAGTGATCAACACACAAAACACCAGCGGCTCAATGTCCTATTTTATGCCGGGTTCTCAGTATTTTTCATGCTGCTATAACTCCTTTTTAGTTTATGAGATAGTGGCTTGTTTCATGAATTAGCTGCAGTTCCTTTCAGGCTTCTCACCCGACTTCTTCACTCCACTCATCATGTCGGAGCAGCAGGCAGAGCTGGATTGTAGCTGGCAGAAGGGGGCAAAAAAAAGCCAAAGGAGGGTGAAAAAAAGAAAAGAAAATAAGGCTTTGAAGAAGACTGAGCTCGCAAAGCTGTATTTTAAAGTTGGATGGCACATCAGAGGCACGAGCAGCTACAGTTCTGCCTTTTTAAGGGATATATACGCTCGTACTGCAGCATCCAAAAAGAGCATTCTCTTTAAAGCTGAGCAGAGTGAGACCAAACATTCACCGCCATGCTCCGAGGCCTAATTATCCTTTGGATCACAAACAGAGAGCTGGTTTCAGAGGAGCAGAGACGAGCATAGCTATATCTGAAAATAATTAAATGTGACATGATTTCAGCTGTTATTTACATTCACATTATAGACTGACACTATCATTTAGAGTGACTTAGTGCAACAGTAGAATAAGTTTCATTTCCTGTGCTTCCTCCGTCCTTGAAGCGTATGTTTAATAGGGATATGACAGGAAAATAAATGAAAGCTGAGCTGAAAGAACCATAATCACTGAATGTTACCCTTAGAATCATATTCTGTGTTCAGGGCTACGATGGCTATGAAAACTTGTGTGCTTGTGTTTTCTTGAAGCCTTGAAGAAGAATCTCTGTATATCTTTTTCAGTACCGCACCTAACAAAGACATCAGAGAGACTCCAAAGGTTTTGCTCACCATGACCCGCACTCTCTAAGTGAGTAAAATAATGTAATTATGGCAATTGCATCACAGTAGTCTCCAGTAGTAATGAGACATGGCAAAATATTACTTACCTGGATGTAACTCCAGTTCTGTAAGTGAAGCCCATCATTGCACTGTATGACAAAGTAAATAAAATAATGGAAACACAGTTCTGTGTAGTGCTGTTGTGGTGCTATCAGTGAGAAAAATCCAACATTAACACAGTTGCATCAGATACGAATTCTGATCATGTATCCACTACCTGCTCCAAGTGTGGGTATTGTCTAGAGTATGCTCTCTACTTTCTGAAACTATGTTCAATATCATTATGTTTAATCTGTACTAGGATTTACATTGTGTTGCCCAACCACCTCTAAAGGCAAAAGTATTTGTAGCAGCTTCACTTAAAGGCAAGGGGCAAATGTCTGTTGTCATAGAGACAGAGGAGAAGCTA